TAAAGCCATTCACCATTATCTTTTGAAATGAAACTGAAAAATAATGAGACTAGGCTAGACGAAGAATTAGAAGACACTGCAAAAATGAGACATTTGCATAAGTGTAGAAATGAACATTATTCACCCTATTGAAGTTCAGGTAAAATAGCTCGAAATGATGCATCGTGCTACCAACGGAAAACAGTATTCAACAGTCAAAAATCTTCGCTTCCTGGTTCGTGGTTCAACGCAACAGTTTACAAAAACGATGTAACTCTCAAGTTACCTTGAAGATGAAGTTAGTGCAGCGTCGAAACGCATACCCAAATAAAGGGTTTTAGATTGTCCTTGCAAACTGTTGCCTTCAACCATGGATGAGGAAACAGAGTGATTGAAATGTTCAAATGTGAAATGGTGTCTCTTTCCATACCGGTCTGAACAGTATTTAATGCTACCATTAATAGAAAGCGAGAATCGCATGTCAAGACAGACCACTTAGAATAAACCTCGTTCAGCTGCTGCGGAAGCCAGAAAGACTTTAGCGCACAGAAGTACAGAAGCGACATTTTGTCGAAAAGATGAACTGAAGGACTAAAGGTCATTGTATGCGTTAATTCCTGAAGGATGAACATATCTTAAAGGTCACCATTTGGGCAAACAATGAACTAGTGAACTGGATATACCGCACTGACTGATTGGATAGAAAGGAGGAGCTAATAAGCAAGCGCAATCGCCGGGGCCAGTAATTTATTCACTGATGCTGCTCTTATAAATCTGCTCTTCTATAAAGTGGAAAGATGTTATGTAAACAGTTCTGTCCTCGAACTTCTCGTGCTATATGCCAGCAACATTCCAAATACTGTATCAAAGTTCAAAGTGTTAACTGGTAATCTTCATCTAATGTCACACTACTTTAACCAGTGTTGCTAGTCAGTAGAATGCCGGACGCACAACCTAGAGGTCGCCAGTTCCAGCCCCGGTTATGTCACTCTTCTCTCTTCCTTCAATGGTTCATGCATGAATAGTACTCACTGGAAAGGAAATAGAAGACAACACCTCGTGCTTGCGACATAGCTGATGTCGGCCCTGCCTCTGAAAGAGTAAGGCACTCCTATCTAATGGCATGATATTGGAGATAAACGCCCAGCCACCATGAAAAGGATGGCGTCAGAAATGCTGTCATGGTCACAGTGTAAGGAAAAGTGACATTGCAACGGTTTACAAAATTCCCTTTCCTTTTTTTTCCGACATGTACAACAGGAAGTACCTTCTCCTCGCTTTATGAGAAGCCAGCATAGCTCACCTAATTTATTCAAAGTGATAAAGATCAGTAAGAGCCATCGTTTCATGGAAGTGAATTTTTCAATATTTCTACACTGGATTTGAATTAAGATCAATGGCAAAGAATATACCTACGAACATTCGGCAGTCGTTCACATTCTCGCTTTGCTTCCATTTCATAGGCCATCCAATGACCAACGTGTTGTGCTTCAGAGAGCCAAGACCGGATGTCTGGATGCTAAAGTGCGATGATTTTCAGTCGATCGATTAACAATGTACAAACTTAGGCGACTGTACTATTTACAAAACTTACAGAGCACTGATGCCTGAGTTCAGATCCTCTGATACGAGCACCTGGTAGAAACCGGACATTTTCAGTCGTTTACGGACCTCGTTCAAAGTCTACATGGAAACTGCGAAGTCACATGCTTACGAAAAAAGAAATGAAGACAGTCGTACTTGTGTCGCGGCCTGAACTTCATTTGACATGGCACAGAATTTTCCTGTCAACACTGTGGCTATAACGGTTAATCCCTTACCTAAACATGGGAGATTATTTAAACATAAAAAAATAACTTATCTTTAAAAGCTGTGCTAATTTTTGTCAGCTGACACGTGGATCATGGCAAATTGCAGCCGGAAGGGGCATGTGTCAGGCAGCATGGCCAAACCAACGTACCATGCTGTCTCTATTATTCGCATATCCACGCACGACCTGCTACTCGTTTCCGGATAGCTGCACCAAAGTACGGTGGGATGAAATTCTGGCTAAGGGGAATTAGCTGTTAAAATAATAAAATGAGCCGCGTGGGATTTAAACCCGGCATCTCTGAAGTGCAAAACAAACTGCGAACTCGCCAAGAAGTGCGAACAATACACAGGTGTTTTGTGGCAGCTCTCAAGAATGACAGCTTTCCGATTCCGCCGGTAAATATAAGTCCTTAACAACCGACAGCGAATTTACACGACGAAACGGTAAATTAACGTTTCCTCCTTTATGGGGATGCTGTGGTAATGCACCGCGTCCTTGCTTCTAGTCATTTAAGGAAACCCTAGGGACACAGGGGGCTCATGGAAGGCAATTAACTCACTGCAACTCCTTAAAATTGATATCGCTGTCGAAATATCGCATTAAAATAAACAATGATTTAATTTAATTTACGAGCTTCGTTTCATGAAGAATAACATTCATCGCCTTTGTCTTCAAAAATATCGAATTTAAGACAAATACTAACTAAACCTTAAAAAAACCTCTGATCTCAGACTCAACTAGACAAAGCCTACAATGCTGACAGCGGATGGAGTTCAATTGAGATGCATCCACTTAAACGTCTCCGAGCAGACATGTCATGCATGAAGTTCCTCCAGATATAAAATAAAAAATCCTAAACGTTCATCTGATTAGACGAGCCTGACAAACAGACATCTTTTCGTCAAAGTTCATTTGCTACACTCTGTCCTGAATGGTGTTCATTTAAACGTGGTAAAACTGCAAGCGAGGCAATCGATCTTATGTAAGTTTCTGCATCTCTTTGGCTATGGTAATACCGAATATGGCTGACAAACGTTCAATAATTTAATAGATATTTAAAGTGGTATCCTCCTCGACGCAATTATAACTTCTCAAAAATACCTCGAGCTTGACAGTAGAACGAAGGTGAAGCGAGAAGAGAAAAATATGCAACGTTTTGAGCTTACATCCGCGGCAGCTCTGATCAAGAGGTAGACCAATCCTCACAAAATCACGACTGTCTCACGCACAAGAAACTACATTCCAAAATAAACTGTTATGGAAAACATTGATTTGCATTAAGCAACCTCTCGACATTTATTGGCACCATACTGCACTAAAAAGAGGGGCTGTAGGATTGAAATTCTCTATTGCATGCGACTAACAAGCAGCTCAACAGTAAGCCTGGTGTACATTCGCCATCAGTGAGGTCCTAGTCCTCTCAAATAAGGGATTAACTACCAAAATAAGGATTAGATGAGATGTAGAGCATATATTCCCGTATCATTCAAATAACCGTGAAGATCTTTTATGAACCTTAGAACGGTCGGCACACAAAACATTAACATTCGGGTTACTAGAGCTCCATATATGTTTTATTGATGTTATTGCGTCCTCATCGGTCAAGGTTTGAACAGCGCTTGGACAGCAGAGTAATATCAACTTATGATGTTCTGACCGTTATCGATTTATTGCATTTTGTTTTGGGAAGGAAATTCTGACAACAGACTCAGATGACAAGATTTGTTGAGAGGAGACGTTCGAACAAATTCCCAAGAGAAGCATGATGAACTTTCATTATCCGCTCTCTCCGATTAGCGAATAACGGTTCGCGTGCAAAAGCATAAATTTTGCAATTCACATACAAAACAGAAAATCAACTCGCCTGCTTTTAAATGGCTGGCAAACAGAAGATTGTATTCGTCTTTGATTTCAGAAAAGTTATTTTGCATGGAGCATAAGACCAGTAGCTGCGGTCTAAACATAAGCAAATGCACAATTAACTACAAACAGAAATGTAACGAACGATAACTGGAAGAAATGTTACTCATTCGACAACTGGTTTTCTCCTTGGATTATACAGAAACATATGACATGCAGCCAGCTCGAAAACAAAAGTCTCTGTGCCATTTGTTTTGCAGCCGTCTTCGGATAACTGCGCATTTTAAAGTCTGTCATTTTGTCAGTCTGGCTTAATGAATGCCAGCAGTGAAAAATACAACCCACTATTCAACTGCTTGGCGTAACATAAATTATGACACATTTCTAGCATATCCCTCGGGTAATGCGGGTAGCATCATAATTTTCTTTTTTCTTAAGTTTTTGCTTTTGGCCATTCAGCATCGCTCAAAACTTTATTTTCTATCATCTCTGCGCAGATACTAATTTCGCTCTCATCATCATCATCGTCACCACAGCCATCATCATCATCCTTGACCGCTCCTCCT